GAGGTCTACGTAGTGTTCATAAAGGGGTTGTTACAAAGTTCAATGGATTTCAAAAGCAAAAGGGAAATGTAGATTATATGCTAGTCCAGAAGACCAAGAAAGAGGAAATTGATTATAGAATTCGATTAATAGCTGTTGTGAATGTGATTCAGTTAATGTTAAGGCATGGTTTTGCTTTCCGTGGGCGCGATAAGTCAGCTGATTTGATGCAAAAAGGTAATTTGCTTGAAATTATGGACTGGTTTGCTGAATTTAATGAAGAAGTTAAAAGAGTTATGGACAATGGGAGAATAATAAATTGACTTCTCCAAAAATTCAAAAAGACATCATCAATGCTTGTGCAACCTAGGTGAGAAAAGTTATTATTGATGAGATTGGAGATAAGTTTTTTACTCTCTTAGTTGAAGAATTTCGAGATAATTCAATAAGAGAGCAGATGTCTTTGGTTTTGGGATTTGTGAATAATAATGGAGAAATAACTGAATTTTTTCTTGGAGCAGTTCATGTCATTGATACTTGTTCACAATCTTTGAAAAAATGTTGTTGATGAGTTTTTTTGTGAAAAATGGATTGTCACTTTCAAGGCTTAGAAGACAAGGTTATGATGGGACTTCTAATATGAGGAATGAATTTAGTGTTCTTAAAACAAATATTTTAAATGAAAACAAAAGTGCTCACTATATTCATTGTTTTGCTTATTAACTTCAATTATTAATTGTAGCTACTTCAAAAGATCATGGGTTAGTCAGTGAGTTTTTTTTATTATGTTGCTATGATTGTAGATATGGTTGGAGCTTCATGCAAAAGGAAGGATGCTCTCTTGCAGAAACATTATGATGATCTTGTGGAGCAAATAAAAAGTGGTGAAATAGTTACAGAAAAGGGAAGAATCAAGTTACAAGCTTAGCTCGTCCTGGTGATACTCGGTGGGATTCTCACTTTTAGACAATCACTCGTCTTTTGCATATGTGGGATGCAGTAAAATGTGTGTTTGAAACTATATATAGGGATGCAAGTGAAAGGAAAAATAAGGGCACTGTTGCTGGTTTAGTTATACAAATAGTGAGTTTTGAATTTGTGTTTATTGCTCATTTGATGGTGACATTATTGGGAAAAACATATACAGCGTCAGAGGTCCTGCAACAGAAGAATCAGAATATAGTTAAATGCTTGTTACTTAGAAGGGTGAATGATGACTTGGAAAAATGTAGAGATGGTGATGATAGCTGGAAGGAATTGTTGGAAGTTACATCTACTTTTTGCACTAAACATAATATTATTGTGCCTAATATGGAAGATGCTATGTCTGGTCGAGTTACATTCCAAAGGTTAGTCTATGGCGCACCAATGACTTATTTGCATTACTTTCGACGGGACATTTTCTTCGAAATAATTATCTTTTTTTTCCATATTTGAAAAGATTTATTTATTTATTAAATATGAATACATTTTCATTTGCTATTGGTGGTTGAAATGGACTGTCATTGTTTTCACCCCCAATAGAATATTTATAAAACCTACTTAAAACTATTTGTTAGTGGCAAGTAGGGTCGTTCCACAGAGATGGCAGTCAACCACTCAAGATCTGATTAAAAGTGTAAGAAAAAGAAAAGTAATAGAATTGAACAGATTTATCACTTGGGAAAGTGAGAACAGCCACTTGACAGAGTGAAGAGGCAGAAGTGTCAATCACCTTCCTATCTTTATGCTCTAGTTTTGATTCAAGTATTCCTGTAGAGTATGATTTATTGTTTGATCGGGCACATGAATTCTTTACAATCCCTCTCAGATAGAGTAAAGAGTCCTAGATTACAAAATGATCTACCTCTCAATTAGATTATTGAGATTAATCTAGGTCATTGAGTGCTTAAGCCCTATTGATCACCTATGTCATTCACCTAACTCTCGTTGATGATTGAAACCAAGGGGTAGATTTTCTCCTTTGTCATAGACTAATTTAAGATGTTCTAGTTATGTTTGCCCTCTCAGATCTCCATAACATGCATGCCCATTTAATTAAATGACCAGTTTAATCAAAAGATTAATTAAAGCACTTAAACTAGAAACAATGCCTCATCAAGGAAAACTGAATCAAAACATTCACATAAAGATAATAGATATTGAACCCTCAACTAAGTTAGCTACTCATGTTTATGGAGATAAACATGAGAGCAACAAAGTGGAAAAGATAAGACATAATCCAAGATCAAAAGGTTAGAGGATAGAAGAGAAAGATGGTAGCAGGGCAGTCACTGTATGCTCACTTTGGCAAGTGGCATTCGCCACTTGACAGAGTCATAGTCTGCACTCATGTCCCTGCTACTACCCTGTTTCTAACCAACTAACTAACTACCTAACTAGTGTTTTTGTAACTGATTCTAACTACCCAATCTGTTCTATTTAACCATTACTACTGGTTGACTATTTATAGAGATTTGGAGAGGTTTGGATTGGTGGAATTCAGGCCTTCCTTGGAGCAGATTGGAGGAGACAGCAAGTTGCAACAGCCAAAGGCATTTGTTTATTCAGCAACTTGCCCAATTGGCAAGTTGATGTCTTCTCTGGTTAGCTCCTTCCTTCTTCAGCCACAATCAGCCACCTTCTACTCATCATTACTTCTTCTTCTTAGTCCTCTTCTCCTGCGCATTCTCACCATTTGTAGTCATAAATCTCCATTTCTCATTCTTTAATCCTCACAACTCAATTTGCAGCAGTCAGCAAGCAGCATCAACAGCATGCTTCCTTCCATCATTGTGTTTCTAGCCCCCAATTCAACCTCAATCTTCTGCCCTTTTCTTTTCTTGTTTCCTGGGTCACTTGCTATACCATTTCTCACCCTTCTGTAGCAGCCAATCCATCAACTCAGCAACAGCAGTAGTTAGTAAGTAGCAGAGTTGCAGCTGTTATTCTTCACATATTCTCCCTCTTTCTCTTCTTCCACTAGCAGCAACAACTTGCAGTGATGGCAAAACAATTTCCTTCATTGGGTACCAAGATTTCAGCTCGTGGCTCCTTTTTAATTGACAGTAGCAACAGCTACTACAACAATAACTTGGCAGCAGAACAATTACCCTTCTTCTTCTCAATTAAGTGTGCTGTTGCAAATTTTTCCAAGTTGTGATCATCTGCTACTATTCTTCCTTCCTCAGCAAGGATTTCTCCACTTGCTTCAGCTCTGATCGATCTTCCAATAGCCTGATTTCCAGCAGCTTTCATTTCAGTCCAGAATGATGCTCTTTTGTGCAATGTGACCCTCATTTATGCTGATTTTTCACATTGGCCCCTTAATTACCCTGAAATACAAAATCGACCCAAGTGTAAACTAATTCTAATTGATTGACACCTAATACTAAGTAAAAATGAGTAGAAAATGCCTGCTAAAAGTGTATATATTTTACTGTCATCAGCTATTACTAGGTTCATGACCTTATTGTTAAAGAAATGAATCATCGTTTTGTGGAGTCAAACTCGGAGCTACTGATCTGCATAAAATGTATTGATCTCAGTGATTCATTTGCTAGTTTTGATCTCAATAAGTTGTTTCGTCTTGCTGAAATATATTTAGATGATTTTGCTAGTGTTGATAAGTTGGCACTAAGCAACCAACTTAAACAGTATATTGATACTATGAAATCACTTGATGATGATACAAAATTTGCTAACCTTGATGATATTGGAGATCTTGCAAAGAAGATGGTTGAACTTAAGTATCATACCACTTATCCTTTAGCTTATCATCTTATTGAGTTGGCGCTAGTTTACCTGTCGCGATAGCTTCTGTTGAAAGGTCTTTCTCCACGATGAAAATTATGAAGAATGATTTGCGTAATAAGATGGGAGATGAACTTTTGACGTATTCCAAGATTTGCAATATTGAAAAGGAAATTTTTCGAAGCATTGAGAATGAGGTTATCTTGCAGAGGTTTCAGAAAATGGCACTTCAGCGATTATATTTACTGCCTATCAATTAATGTTGCACTTTTTTAGTGATTTAGTAAGAAAAATACATTAAAGTACTGCTTATGTCATATAGACCTTTTCAAAGATTCATTTTTAATTTGTTGATTACTTTTTTCTTCCTTACCACATAATGGAGCCCCTGCGGAACTTAGAACCTGGTTCCGTCCCTGCTTTTGGTTGCGATTGATTTGAACTTGCACCGTTTCTTTTACATAATTTAATCGGGCTAGATTATCAGGAATTGGCCTCTCGTCCATACTTCAGTGGGTTATTTAGTCACTTAAAAAAAATTACCTAGTTCAAAATATAATTCATGGTAAATTTATAAAGTAACAGTTTTACTAATTTATTATTATTGTTTAATGAATGACCAATCATTAAATAACATGTGTAATGAAATCAATTGGAGGACAATTGACAGACATGTCCTCACCTCATCTCCTTTCCTCTAATATATATATATATATATATATATATATATATATATATACACACATATATATATGGGGGAGCGGCTAGAGTCCCGTTACGGGGCAGTTCCATTTTAGAATAATAACCGTAGGATTAATTAGGATAATTAACAACTGTATGATTAAAATGAGGGTGTATCATAAGTAAATATACCTAAATTTACTTGATTAAACAGAAAAAAAAATTAGGCAAACTAAATTTTACCCCCGAGTTTTGGTCTCGTAACGAATTAAACCCTGAGTTTTGATCATATTACTAATACCCCTTGACATTTGACTAACCAAATAGACTTTTCTCATCGGAAATTGACACCAGATGCTGATGTCATCTCAACTTCATGTCAAAGTTATGAAGTTCAATAGGATTTTCATTATTATTATTTATTTATTTATTTCCAAACCACAAAAGAAAAGGGAAAAAAAAAAACCAACCCCAAAACCAAAACCCTCATAAGTCTTTATCACGATTATTCAACCATCATCCAAATTTCCCATTCTACCAGCTCCTCTCCCCCCGCGGCGGCCATCATCATCCCTCTACTTCCGCTGCCATCATCATCATCCAAAATTCCAAATTTCACTAATGAAGAGAGTTTATGAACAAAGAATAGCCTACCATGTCTAGAAATCTATCAGTAACAACAGCCATTATGAAATCACAAGTACTACTGCTGCCTAATAAGAAAAACTGAAAGAATTAACAAAGGTGAATCATTACTAATCAATTTGACCTGGAGGGTTAATCAAATCAAATCAAATCTTAGATAGCATACAAACTCCCCAGAATGGACAAACGCGCTTCTTTGTGGGCAATGGACTCTCTTTCGGGTCAGCGCCCAACCCAATCTCAATTCCATGTCTTGTAATTGGTTCAGGTCGAACAGCAGCCTCGCAGATGTGTAGGTCGATGAGCCCCCGTCAGATGATGTCATGCCATTTGCAGTTGCAGTCACGGTGGCCGCGTCGTCGACCTTGGCTATTGGGCTTGGCATCTGGCTTGAGCTTCGGCTCTGGCTCGGGATGGGAGATGACATTTTTGCTGACATGTCCACCGCCGCTAATGAATTGGCCATCTTCTGGGGAGACATAATGACTCCGTTGATGACCGCCTAAAGCTTGGCCGGAGGGGAGGAACATGTTTCACACGTCTGATATTTTTAAAGATTGATATTTTGTTCGGTGTTTATTTTCAAAGCCACCACCTTTACTACTTGAACCCACATATTTTAAAATTGGATCATTTTACCCTATAATTTTTTCAAATCATATAATTTGACTAGAAAGAAAAAAATGAAAATTTTTTAAAAAAAATTGACCGACCGGGCGGTCCACCCATCCCGGATTAACCGGGGACGGGCAAGGAACGCGTCCTCTTGTTCGCCCGAACGCGTTCATTGCGCATCCCGGGTTAAACCAGGACGCACAATCAACGCGTTCGGGCGAACAAGAGGACGCGTTCTTTGCCCGTCCCGGGTTACGTCCCGTGTTAACCCGGGACGAGCGGATTGCTCGGCCGGTCCCGGTTCGGTCCGATATGGTAAACCGGACAGGTCAGGCCTTTTTTTTAATTTTAAAATTTTTTTTTTGTAATTAAAAAATAGCAATATTTGTTATTTGAAAAAGTCTAAAAATTAAAAAATATCAATCGGATTCATTGCTCTTTTTTTAATTTTTAGATTTTTTGTTGTAATTAGTTAATCTAGTTTTTAGGTCATTAAATTTATTAATAATTTATTATTTGAGTTACTTTAAGTATCACCAATCTTTGTAGTACAAAAAATAGTTAATCTATTTGCACATATTTGTCACAATCTTTGTGGTACAATTATTATTTTTCATTATAAATGTATAATTATTATTTTAACTAAAAATTATCTTTAAAATAATGATTAAAGTAAAATTTATATTTTAATATTAATTCAAATAAATTAACTTAACAAATAATCTTAAATTTTTTTTCAAGTAAAATTACTTGTTTATTTTCAAATAAATATAAAATCGAGAGTTTAAGCACTAAAGTATAAATATTGTTAATAATATTTAAAGTACGAGGTATTTAACATGTAATGATACTGCGAATAAACTAACATTAAAATAAAAATTAATAATTTGTCCGTTCTCACGTGAATCGGACCGAATGACTTGTCCGGTTCGGTCCGAGTGGCAGGGGCAAAAAGGGAATTCTTCAAAATTGGTGGCTTCAAGTACTAATTTGGGTGGCTGGAAAAATCCAACCCCTTTTCGTTTTGAGGAATATATAAACATCGATATAGGTTTGTTACAATGTTTCTTGCCCTACCAATACATGTTGTATCGTTAATTTTGATTGGATAAATTTTTAATCAAATGGTTCCGTTAAAAACAAGAACGGGACTCTAGAATTTCCATATATAGATAGGATATGTCAAATTTCATATTATTGGCATGATCAAAACATATCATTTTCTTAACTTTGTTTTAATTACATGCTTATATATATTCAAAGATAACTATAGACAAACATAAACTTCCAACCGTTGTTATTTTTAGCAATGTCATTTAAAATTTAATAGACTTTTTTTCTCCTCCCAATTTACAACACTCACTAACGCGTTGGACAAGGACTAGTTACTTTTTTACTTGACCCATAACTTTCGAATAATCTCATTAATATTTTGAGACATACTTGTAAACTTGATAGGTAATATTCTAACACGGTCTCCATAGTGCAGTATATCTCAACTCTTAAGTTTTTTTTTTTTTTTGAAAAATCTTGAGGTTCAAATATTTTGAAATCAATTGATTCAGATGAAATATTTGCTCCTGGATTGTTCAATTTCATAATATTAATACTCGTTGTAGAATATGCATCGCAAATATAAAGTGAGTGAACAAAGGATTTCTTTTGACACAATTTCCCACCACATCTTAATATATAAACTCATTTTCAAAAAGAAAATATATGAACTAGCATTCCATTACAAAACACATAATTATTTCGAGTAGATTCATTAACTATCTTAGTATATGTGTGTAAAAGATTGTCAGTGATAATTTATCGTGACCTTTTCGGTGTGATTTGTTTCATATCTCAAGTTTTGATCATTTAAAAATTTATTTAGTTTAGATGATGTATTTGATATTTACATTTCGACACTTTAACTGTTTGTTTCAGAAGGTTAGCGATATTGTTAGTGTAATAATTAGTCACCAGCAGAGCAAAATATAATTTTATTAACTAATTTACCCTTATTACTTGAACCTTCATTTCCACTTCCGTATTCTGCTATTTCCCTCGTTATAATATTCGCAGTATACAGAATAATCGATGGCTTCTTTTATACTTTCATCTGATTCAAAATGGGATATGTACTTAAGATTAACATATTGGGCAACCAAAAAAACATATTGGGCAACCAAAAAAATCCATCTTTGATAATCGCTTAAGTTAATTTATTTTTTTGGTAGGGTTAATTACTTATACTAATTTGTCTCCAATCATCAACAAGCTATCATTCAAAACTTTTGTACATTTAAATCATATTTCGCCTTCTTTAAAAGATTACAAACATCTTTCCCTGTTCCAATTTCTCTCAAACAAGGGCTAAGCTTCATAATAAATCAAAACCATGGCATTTGAGAGAAAGTGCCCGCCATTAAATTTCTACGAGACGAGAAATAATTTTTCTTTCTTTCATAATTTGACTCGCAAATAATAGTCAAAATGAAGTCATTTTTCTTTCTTTCATAATTTGACTTGCAAATAATAGTCAAAATGAAGAATTTCAATGAAAATAATTAAAACATTTATGTGATTGAGTATAGAAATATTGTTGATCATGCCAGAAGCATTCTGCCAAATATGAAAAATTTTGGGGATTTTGAGCAATAAATTCTAAAAATTGAGAAAATGTTGTGTGATCCACGCGCTAAGAAGGATTAGCAAAATGGGACTAATGATGAGCATTAGAAAGATATAAGATTTAAGTTAGTTTAAATAACGAAGATATTTTGGTAAAAAGTATTTTGAATGCCATTTTTTGTTTTGGGAGAATCACAGGTCTATTGATTTATGTTCACTATGTGACACAATATTTGCCATCATTTCATTACTTGAACTATAACTTTCCATTAGAACTCACATGATAGATAATTATAGATAATTCTTTAGATGTGTAATTGATGGATCGGTGATATTTTGTCTTGGTCTCTTTGTTACACTACATCATAAATTCTATATTTTAATCATTCGGAAAAAATTAATCTGTTCATATGAAATATTTCCTCCATTCTGAAATAATTGTCCAATATAAATTTTTATTCTTAGTATAAATTATAGTATAAGTGAAAATTCAAACTATACGATAATTTTAGATAAAAAGAGTATTCACTATTTATATTTTAAGGTTTTAATTTGTTCAATTATGATACTACTGCTCATAATATTTTTCATTTTGCAAAATGACTGACAAAAGATGCATTATATGCGGATTTCAAGCAGCTCAACTCACGTGATCATTTCAGGTAATTCATTAATTATCTGAATTATACGTGTAAAAAGATCGATGAGTCGCCGTTTTTTTCGATTCGGTGTATGTCAGACTTCAAATTTCAAACATTTGAAAAGGTAATCGGTTAGATAGATGAGACGTTTACGTTTCCACCTTCAGTGCGGTGCATCCTCAACCTCGAGTTTCGAACACTTTACCTCGAATGTCGAACACTTTAAAAGTTAATCGGTTTAGATAACGTATTCGTTTTTTACGTTTTGATTCTTTTAAAACTTTTTAATTTTAGAATTCCTACTAATTTTCTTTTAGTGAATAAAACTTGTGCCTCAAAGGTAAAAACATATGTGGATATTAATAATTCTCATTACATTTCACTTTTTGAACCCAAGGATATTAATAATTTTAATTTTCCTCATTATGTTGATACACAATTTTCTGCATCATTTTGCTATTGTGAGAACTTACTTTGTATTTCTCTAACTCACATGATAATTATTAACGTAAATAAATTACAATAGTTATTACTTCCTCCATTTCAAAATGTAAGTCGTTTTAGTATTTCAAGGCAAATTAATGACTATTTTTTCAACTTTACCCTTAATAAATAATATCAATCTGTTTTTATTTAGTCTTGTTTATAGTTCCAATGTAATTAATTAGAGGTAAAATAGATATTTAACACACAAATTAATGTCGAATGATTGTCTCCTTAGTTTACGTGTAAAGTACAAAGTGACTTATAGTTTGAAATGGAAGGAGTACTTGCGGGTTGAGATGTAACCATGCAAAGTTCATTATTACCGATGCTAATCCTACAAATTAATTGAGAAAAATGTGGTTAAATATGGTAATAAAATGTTGTCTTCTTTAAAATTAATGTTAATATTCAAGCGGTAAGAAAATAAGTAATTAAATAAAGAAAGAGAAAATGCTGGAATAGCTTCCCAGATCCCAATCCTATAAATAGCCGTTTTTAGAGAGAGATAAAAAAGGAAGAAAGCTGGTACAAATGTCACTGACTATAAATACTACTAAATAATAAATTAATAGAGAGAAGAATAATAATAAAACGGGAGTATATTGCTTAAGAAATGCTCTAAACATGGTAAAGTGCTGTGCTGTAAGCAATAGTCGAAGTGGTGGTAATAGTGGGAACTGGAACTCTTGTTGAGGTTTGGTTTTGTAGGAAAGGGGTTTTCTTTCTTTGTCGTTGGAAGAAAAACCCTACCTTTTTTCTGCTGGGTCGCAATCTTTTTTAGGTCATCATCTTTTGCAGCTCTAGCGCCCTCCCTGGAGGCTTTTTGTTGTTTAGGTATGCATTTTTCCGGCGTTTTGCTTCCGATTTGAATTGTGCCAGATCTGGAATGGGAAGAATTTTGTGATTGTTTGTGTTTTTTTCTTTTGTTTTTGGTTTTTATGTTCTGTTTAATATCGTTTTGGCAGTAATGTGGAAGTGGAATTATGGATGTAATCCTATGCAAAATTGCAGTTCGTAGTGTTCCGGAATTGGAGAACTTTGTGGTTTTTGTTTTCTTTTCGTGGAGGAATATTCAAAGTTGATGGAGCGACATGACCCAATTTCATAATTATGTGTTCTTTTTTTGGGAAATTTTGTTTCTTTTGTTTTGCTAAATTTTGAAAATTATGGCTTCTGGTAGATTTCTCGGGATGTATTTTCGAAGTTTTGATTCCTGGTTATGTCATCCCTTGTTGATATGAAAGTTTGTGGGGCATTGATGTTCGAAGTTTATCGATAATGTCTTTTACAACTTTAGGTGCTTTTGAGGGCATTGATTACTGTCATACTGTGTTTTGTAGTCAGCTTTTTAGAGGTTTTGAGTATTCTATAGGCTTTGAAAATTCTGGCCATTTCACCATTCAGTTAATTCTTTGTCTCAATCCTTTATTGATGATTTTAACTGAATTATATTTTTCTCCTCCCTGCAGTCTAAATTTCATTGGACAGACAACGCCTAGTGTCGAGAGGGAGGACTGGGGTGACTTGCTGTAAAATTTCTACTATTTCATAATTATTTGGGGTTAATATCAGATATTTGCGCTGGAGTGGTTAGGTGTACCGGGTACTGTTACCATGTCATCCTTAAGTCGGGAACTGGTTTTCTTAATACTACAGTTCTTGGATGAGGAGAAGTTCAAGGAGACAGTCCACAAGTAAGTGCACAACTCATTTGGTATTAATTAATCTTCAAATTTGTTTGATTTGATGAAACTGTATGTTCAATGTTCTTGGTTTGACATTGTGATGATGAATGGTGGCTTGGTCTTTTTATTTCTTGTTATTTTAAAGAAAGTCTGATGAAACTGCTTGTTCTTCATACATATAGGTAAGAACTAGTTGCTTCAGGTTAAGAAAGGTTATTCTGTTTTACAGTGAAATGGATACATCAGCCATTATGAAACTGATGGTTTATCGTAAATACATTTGTGTCAAATATTACTGCCTCATTATAGATTAATGCTATTACATCATATGGTTCAGGCTGGAACAAGAATCTGGTTTTTTCTTCAACATGAAGTACTTCGAAGATCAAGTTCAAGCAGGCGAATGGGAGGAAGTTGAACGTTACCTTTCTGGGTTCACAAAGGTTGAGGACAACCGGTATTCAATGAAGATTTTCTTTGAAATAAGAAAGCAGAAGTATCTTGAAGCTCTTGATAAGTAAGTTCTTGTGTCACGGGTTGAAGGGAGTAGTTGAGTCTGGGTATGCTTTAGATTAATATAATCGATTTGTGCTTTTCTAAACATGCAGGAATGATCGAGCAAAAGCAGTTGAAATTCTTTGCAAGGATCTTAAGGTTTTTGCATCTTTCAATGAAGACCTATTTAAGGAAATCACGCAGTTATTAACTCTTGAAAATTTTAGGTAATCAGATTGATCATTTGAATGATAGCAATATTTCCTGTTTCTTTCAAACCTTTAATTATCCTTTGGGATTGTTCTAGGCAGAATGAGCAGCTTTCCAAATACGGGGACACAAAATCAGCACGAAATATCATGCTAGTTGAATTAAAGAAGCTTATTGAGGCAAATCCTCTCTTCCGTGACAAGCTAACATTTCCTACCTTCAAGGCTTCTCGATTGCGCACATTGATTAATCAGAGGTTAAGCTGATTCTTATTTGTTATGATAATTCTCCTATGAATTCAAGAGTACCTTAAAATAATCTTTTCTTTTCTGTTGATTTATTGCACCCTACTGTTGTTCTTCTATTCTTGTTTTTTTTTTTTTTTTGGGTGTTTTTGTATGCATTTCAGCTGAGTTATTAATTCATTCTATTGTCACCAAACAATGGTTTTTTCCTGCAGTCTCAACTGGCAACATCAACTCTGTAAGAACCCCCGTTCTAACCCTGACATCAAGACCCTTTTCACCGATCATACCTGTTCTTCTAGCAATGGTGCTCGTGCTCCTCCACCTGCTAACAGTCTCCTTACTGGACCAGTGGCTAAACCTGGGACATTCCCTCCCCTTGCAGCCCATGGTGTAAGTTCTTCCCCAAACCTCCTCCCTTTTTTGAATTGGGAAATGGCTTATTGATGTATGGTTGCTCACTTCTGAATCTGTCTGGATGCAGCCATTCCAACCAGTTGTTTCTCCCTCGCCAAGTGCTATTGCAGGTTGGATGTCAGGTGCTAATCATCCTATTCCGCATGCTGCTGTTGCGGCAGGTCCTCCTGGTATGGTTCAGGCTCCAGGTGCAGGTTAGTTTTTGAACCTATAGTTGCTCCCAGAGTAGTTAATCTGGATTCAATATGACTGCTCTTCGCAATGTCTCGCAGCGGCATTTCTGAAACATCCAAGGACTCCTCCCGGAGCTTCTGCTATGGACTACCAGTCTGCTGATTCAGAGCATCTGATGAAACGCCTTCGTGTTGGCCCATCTGATGAGGTTTTTATTGATAATAAACTTAATTTTGGATCTGGCTTTTTTTTTTTTTTTGATGTTCTTGACTTCCATTTTGGGTCCTATCTAATGTGTTACCCCCTCGTTCTAATACCAATAATTTTCTAGGTCTCCTTTTCTGGTTCAGCCCATTCTCCCAGTATTTACTCACCAGATGACCTTCCCAAAACAGTTGGTCGCATTCTCAGCCAAGGATCTAATGTTATGAGCTTGGACTTCCATCCCCAGCAGCAGACCGTTCTGTTAGGTTGGTTCTTCATTAACTATTTTTCACTTTGATTTTTTGTATTGAGCGGAAAGTTCTTTCTTTCTTAAGGACCCTATTCTGATATCCATGAACGCAAATGTGAGTACTTTGATTGTTGGAGCTCTAATTGTATAATTGCTTATTTTCCTTTCTAGTTGGAACAAATGTTGGAGACATTAGCATATGGGAAGTTGGCTCCAGAGAAAGGTTGGCTCACAAGAATTTCAAAGTATGGGATGTATCAGCATGTTCGATGCAGCTACAGGTGTGTTTTGTGATGCTTGCTTTCTTTTTGATATCATGTTAAATGTCTGAGATAATGAATGTCATTAGTTGCTCTGTGGTTGTTTAAACTGAAAATTGATCTATTGATTCTGCAGACCACATTGGTTAAAGATGCCACTATTTCTGTGAACCGTTGCATATGGGGACCGGATGGATCTATACTTGGTATTAGATCATCTACTGTAGCTGACCATGTCAAAATTCCGGAAAAAAAATATGCCATTTGGTCGATATGATTCAATTAGTAATCAGTTATCTGACTTTGTAGGTGTGGCATTCTCGAAGCACATTGTTCAGATATATGCTTACAATCCCGCTGGTGATTTGAGACCGCACTTTGAAGTATGATTTTTCTGTATCCTCTGTATTTTGACTCTTATTGAAGTAACGAAAAAGCTAATGGGTTTTTCTTCTTTCTAGATTGAGGCTCATATTGGTGGTGTCAATGACATTGCTTTTGCTCATCCTAATAAGCAACTATGTGTAGTGACGTGTGGAGATGACAAGACTATCAAGGTAGGAATATTTTGGAATGCATTTAGTCACTGTTTCTCATATATCGTTGTAATTGTTATCTTTCTTTTTGTTGGGGACAGGTTTGGGATGCTGTAACTTCTCGTAGGCTATACGTATTTGAAGGCCATGAAGCTCCTGTGTATTCAGTCTGTCCTCATTACAAGGAAAATATCCAGGTAGACCTTTTGGTGGTGGTTGTGGTGGATACTGGCCTTTTGTTTTCCAAGTTGTGGCATCTATTATTATATCATTTATTTTGTTATTTTGTAATTTCTTTTGTTTGTTCAAATGAAGGTTTGGAATCTAATGATTTGCTCTCTTTCATTGGAACGGCCGTAATGATATTCATTTTCTGTCATGCAGTTTATTTTCTCGACTGCAATAGACGGAAAGATAAAAGCATGGCTTTACGATTGTTTGGGTTCAAGAGTTGATTATGATGCTCCTGGACTTTGGTGCACAACAATGGCCTATAGTGCTGATGGAACTAGGTAGTTCTCAAAACCTTAGAACTGGTTACTTGGTTCTTTTTATCTTCCTATATGCAGAAAGTATGGATCATTTTAGTTCGCTAGTGCTTTCTTTCTTTTCTTTGTTACAAAGCCTCCACTGCTTTTATGTATACATATTTGCGGCTGTTTGTAATTGATCGTGTAATATCTAGAATTTGCATTCGCTGGATTCTTAATGTCCGTACTATTAATGAAGGTGATATTTTTATTCTCTAAATTAGCAAGGAGGATGTACTGAAATAATTATTGAGATGAATTCAAGGTGGAAATATGAAGGGGATTGAACAAGAAGCAAATTTTCTGTTGGAAGCCTTTAACATGCAACTCTAGACTAAGGTTACTTGTTAAATTTGGAAAATGTCCATGGTAGCTGGGCTTCGTCGCAGAAAATCACATGTTTATGAACTCAATTTGAATTTTATCGATTTCTTTCTGTTCATGGTTTCCTTCTCCAGCTTATCGTATTCATCTTTTCTGTCATTCTCTTACTGCTTTCAGACTATTCTCGTGTGGCACAAGCAAAGACGGTGAGTCGCATCTTGTTGAATGGAACGAGAGTGAGGGAGCTGTCAAGAGAACATATTCTGGTTTTAGGAAACGATCTTTGGGTGTGGTACAGTTTGACACTACTAGGAATCGGTTTCTTGCTGCTGGTGATGAGTTCCAGATAAAGTTTTGGGACATGGACAATAACAATATATTGACCTTCACTGATGCTGATGGTGGATTGCCTGTTAGTTCCTTTAATTTAAGAAAGCATTGAATTTTTTTCAAAGGAATGGTAGGTTCTCTATCCGGGGAGCAGCATTGTTCAGTTATTTATATTGTCTATGCAGGCTAGTCCTAGGCTACGTTTTAACAAAGAAGGATCATTGCTAGCTGTTACAACGAATGACAATGGGATCAAGATATTGGTAAATGCTGATGGACAACGCTTGCTGAGGATGCTAGACAGATCATTTGAGGGCTCCCGTGGTCTTTCTGAAGCAGTCAATGTTAAAGTAATATTTTATGTTTGGTACAAAATACTGATGTTTAAAATAATTTAGTAGCTCAATATTGTCCTCTTTTTTCTTTTCTTTTTTCCCTTTCTTCTTTTCCTAATAGAAAAAGACCCTTTAATTTTTTCTGCAGCCTGCAATTGCTGGTTCATTGGGACCTATACCACCTGCACCTCCAATTCTTGAACGTAATGATAGAATGCAACAGTCTTTATCCATTGCAAATCTGGTATGTATGTTTATACTTCTTTTTGGCTTCTCATACATCAATATTTCTGTCTCTTTGTCCTGTCTTATGTATTCCCTATGCTTGATTGCCTTACTTTTCTTGCCCAATTACAGGCTCCCATGGAGAGCAGTCGGGTAACCGATGTTAAACCGAGGTTATCAGATAATGCTGATAGAATCAAAGGCTGGAAGTTCCCTGATATAGCCGAATCAGGACAGTTGAAGACATTAAAATTACCTGATACTTTGGCAGCAAGCAAGGTATGTGGTCAACATGCTTGAAGTCCACTTTCGACCTCTTTGGATTTCCCGGCTTGGAGTTCCTTTTTTTTTTTTTGGCCGGGGATTCAAGTATGAGTTTCTCACTTCGTTATGGCTTTTTCGTTTCTTATTCTTCCCTCTGAAACTAACCATCTTTCATAAATCTGTGCTTTTTCGGTCTTATTGCCTTTGATTTATGCTCTTAAAGAGGTTTTTCTTCTCCATTTTCTGCATTGCTACTTAACCAGTAGGTTCTATTGTTGTGGCAGATTGTGCGCTTGCTTTACACAAATACTGGTCAAGGTCTTTTGGCGCTAGCTGCCAATGCTGTTCACAAGCTTTGGAAATGGCAGAGAAATGAACGCAATTCTTCAGGAAAGGTTGAACTTTAAGCATCTGATTTCCAAATTTGCTTCTTTGCTCCTTCAACGTCATCAGCTTTTTGATATACCTGCTTTCCATTTTTATTTGTTATTACTATTATTTTATTTTGTTGATTTGTGACTGGATATTTTTTTGCTTTTGTCAGGCTTCTGCATCGGTAATGCCACTGTTGTGGCAGCCAAATAGTGGTGCGGTTATGTCTAATGATCTGAGTGAAACCAAACCAGCAGAAGAATCAGCTGCATGCATTGCTCTATCTAAGAATGATTCTTATGTCATGTCTGCTTCTGGTGGAAAGGTTTCACTGTTCAACATGATGACATTTAAGGTATCATTTCTCACTTATCTGTGGTGCTCACAATCTTAGTGCATTGCTGCTCATGCGATTTTGTCAAACCTCTGTTGGTTTATGAATGATTAAAATGCTTGCCTTTTCTCCCCTCATCAGGTCATGACAACGTTCATGTCTCCACCACCAGCTGCTACATATCTCGCTTTCCATCCTCAAGACAACAATATCATTGCTATCGGGATGGAGGATTCTACTATACAGATTTACAATGTTAGGGTTGACGAGGTATAATTAGAGATTCCCTGTTGTTTGTTATCCTACGGGTATACTATTAAGGCTTACTTTTTGGAAATGTAGCTCTAGTATACTGGGTCCATCATAGAACTGCAAGTTATGCATTTTTTTATTTTTTTTATTTTTTTTTGTGTTTGTGTTAGTATTGGGTTTATTCATATTCCCCTGCTGTTGATCTTTGGGTTGAAGAACTTCTTTTGAAATCTTCGTAGTTGTAATTGGTATAATTGGTTGTCTGCGTGCATGGTTGTGTGCAGGTGTTTACGTTTTTGCATGTCGGAAAGTCTTGCCATCTGCTTAAAAATTTTCTTCCTTGAGTAGGTTACTTGGAACTAGCTGTCCCTAAATTAAGATACTTTTTGCCGTGGAAAATGAGAGAGAATCACAAAGTAACTAGGCAGAGGTTGTCATATTCTGGGCACTAATTTGTTTTTGAAATATGACTATTATTACTTGATATGATGTCACTCAACATTGCTGGATTGGTTCCTTCTGGCCTTGTCCCTGATATTTTTCCTTCTCTTGTTTGTGGTCAATTTGGTACTGTCCTTATAAGAGGGTTGAATTGTTTGTTTGCATTGTGGGTGTGTGTGTGTGTGTGAGAGAGAGAGAGAGAGAGAGAGAGAGAGAGAGAGAGAGAGAGAGAGAGAGAGAGAGAGAGAGAGAGAGAGAGAGAGAGAGAGAGGATATGTTGATGCTTATCCAATTTTTGCCGTGACTACATGGTGTAATTAACTGCTTCAATTTTTTTCTTTTGGTCTCTTGTATATAGGTTAAAACCAAGCTCAAGGGGCACCACAAACAAATTACAGGGCTTGCTTTTTCCCCGAATTTATTGGTCTCCTCAGGAGCTGATGCACAGGCAAGTGCTGGAAAAATTCACCATTGCATGTGTGTGCATTTTTATTAGTACAGGAAGGGAGGAGGAAATTGTTGTCGTGGAGTCAGTACCGCATTTATTTTGTATTATCTTACACTGGAAGATTTAGTAATATGCTTATTCAGTGCAACAATTCTGTTTATTGTCATTCGGTCGTCGAAGGGCTCAAAGATTGTTAAGTGGCCATGGCATTGATGTTGATCATAAATTTACTTACAGCTTTGCGTCTGGAATATTGATGGTTGGGAGAAGAAGAAGACAAAACCCATACAGGCACCGCCAGGTCATGCATCTCCACTGGTTGGAGAAACTAAAGTTCAATTCCATAATGATCAATCTCATGTGTTGGTCGTACATGAGAGCCAAATTGCCATATATGACACACAACTTGAATGTCTGCGCTCGGTAAGTGGTTGATTTCCCCTTGCATTGCGACTTAATGTACCAGAGCATCTGTTGTCATGTGATTTTTTTGGTTATCAAATCTTGTTATTCTGGAGACTAGCTCTACTTTATCAATAATGATCATGTAAATGTCCTTATTTTGCAAGATTATAGTCGCGAGATGGCACCAATATTTTAAGCTCCTATCTGGAAGATTTAGCTAATTTAGTTTATTCTCCTATTGCAGTGGTATCCACGAGATTCACTTTCTGCAGCGATTTCAAGTGCAATATATTCCTGTGATGGCCAGTTAATCTTCACTGGATTTTCCGATGGTGCAGTTGGAATTTTTGATTCAGATGGTTTGAGGCTTCGTTGTCGAATAGCACCAACTGCTTATATTTCCCCGTTAATTACCAGGTATTTGGATTGGAAGAATCTTATTTACCTTTTTCTGAGAAGAAAATTTGTCATGTCCATAGTTCCCCCCACATGCTAGCCTTCTATAGTTTACTGCTGGTTTATCTCTTCTGTATTCTTACCGCTAGAGAGTAAATGAGGTTTATAATGATGAATTCAGTAGATGACTTGTGGAGACTGCCTTCCCAATTTGTTACTTTCGGAGTTTGGGTGATGTTACTTGTCTTTTTTTTCTGTAGTTTCTTAGAAACAGTTTACATGCTGAAATGCTCTTAATAACTGTGCATACCCAGATATTCACATGCTACTAGCAATAAAATTCTTATTGGCTAACATGAGTTTCTTATAACTGGCAGCAACAGTGGAGGCAATCCTTTTCCAGTCGTGATTGCAGCACATCCTGCGGATCCCCACCAATTTGCTCTTGGTATGAGTGATGGTGGAGTTCATGTGATTGAGCCGGATGCAGATCCAAAATGGGGTAATCTGGGATCTCAAGATAATGGAGCTATGCCATCTAATCCCTCAAACTCTGCATTAAATAGTCAGCCATCCGAAACTCCTTCTAGGTGATAGATATCCTGCATCATGGTCGTGGGGTTGCTGTTAGTTTTTGGTGGGAATCATGTTCTTTCTCGGCCCCTTATGCGATGAGGGCGAGGATGCTTGATTAATTAATAGTGTTTTTTTCTTTTTAGCTTTCAGACCCATTTGAGATTTCCTTTCCCATTTCTTCTTTACCGCTGACTGATTCATTTGGTGCTGTTTTGTTTAAAGTCTCTCCTCACTCTCTGTGATTGCTCTTACCAAATCAAACCGATCGTGAGAAATCTCGAATTTGGTGGCATGAGAATATGAGATCCTATTTCAACTGGAATCGTGGAATGAAATAATGGTTAGCATTTCAAGTTGTACTAGTATGCGAAGGCCTTTGAAACCTGCAAAACATGACTTTGTGTAAATTTTCAATGATCTGATTCATTGGCTCGATTTATATTACTAGGTTTTTTATTTATTTATTATTATTGCAATACGCCCCTTAGATATCAAAAGTTACTGTGTCGACAGATCTAACAAACAAAACCAAGAAACAGAACTATCTTAACATGTGATGTATATAAATCGTTGTTCTTAGCTCGTTTGGCTCTTTTTTTAATAAGTTTTTTTTTATAACAAACACTAATATATTGATCAAGCGAGATATGATTACATTACATGATGGGATAAAGAGATCATTACTCTCAGACCCATAAAATATTAGTCAGTTTTTTTCCCCCTGGAATTTGCTCTACTCAAGCCAAACTTGGCACTGAACTGACTAGTGAAAAATTGGTTCTTTCTCAAGCTCGTTGTAAGCATCTTCCCTGCTGTTAGTTTTGTTCTAAACGGACGTGCATGACATTTGTTTGACGAAATGCCGCTTAGAAGTTGCAAACCAAATTTGTTTCCTTCCTATCTATTGAACTCATTGGGAAAACCTGAACCCACTCAATCCTCTTTATCCTCTTTCCAAACGGTCGAAAACATTGATTTTTTCCTTCTTTCCCGCAAGAAAATCATGCCATGGAGTCTACAGTCGTAGCTCAAAAGAATAATCTGCAGTTCTCTCCACTGATTGACTTCTTCCCACATGAAATTGCTTCCCTTCTCGTTGAAACAAATTTTCTCATCCCGTATGATTTTCAAACCCGTCAATTTCTTCTCTTCAAAACCACAATGGAACCTAAATCGAAGTTCAAATCTTAACATCACCCACCCAACTTTGCTTCTGATTGAGTCATGCAACTCTATGTCTCAGCTCAGGCAAATCCAAGCACATATGACAAGGACTTGCCTCATATTCCATATCTTTCCTGTCAGCAGACTCGTATCCTTTTGTGCCTTAGATCCTAATGGAAGCATTCATCACGCAAACCTTTTGTTTTCTCAAATCTCTTGCCCGAATGTTTATATCTGGAACACGATGATAAGGGGATGTGTGAATTCCCAATTTCCCGAAATGGGTTTGTGCTTTTTCAAGAGAATGATTAGGGAAGGCGTTGAAATGGACCATAATAGCTATGTCTTCTCGTTGAAAGGTTGTGGGATTTTGAGCTGGATTGAAATTGGATCATCGGTGCATTGTAGGATTCGGAAAGCGGGTTTTGTGAATGACTTGATTGTGAGGAATGCACTCGTACATTTTTATAGCGAGAAAGGGCAACTGGACGATGCAAAGGTCGTGTTCTTTGAGAGTAGTGTGAAAGACGTCGTCTCCTGGACTTCTTTAATTGATGGTTTTGTGAGGAAAAATTTGGCTGATGAGGCTTTGGATTTGTTTGGAGAAATGTGTTCAAGTGGGATTGAGCCTAATGAGGTCACTATGATCTCTCTGTGTTCAGCATGTTCGCTTAAGGCAAATTTGGCTCTAGCAAGATCAGTTCATGAGCTTGTGTTAAGAAAACGTGTGACATGTAGTTTAAATCTCATGAATGCTTTGTTAGACATGTATGTGAAATGTGGTGATCTGGCTAAAGCTGAGGAAATTTTCGGTAAAATGGATGCCAAGGATGTATTTTCATGGACAAGCATGATCACTGGTTATGCTAAAAGTGGAAAGATAGAGTTGGCGAAGAATTGCTTTGATGAGATGCCCCAGAGGAATGTAATTTCCTGGACTGCACTTATAGCTTGTTATTCACAAAACAATAGGCCTACTGAGGCACTACAGATTTTCCGGGACATGGAAGTGGAAGGATTAGTTCCTGTGGAGAGTACTTTAGTCTGCGTGCTTTCTGCTTGTTCTCAATTGAGTTGTTTGGATACAGGAAAACACATATATGATCATTACATTAAGCAGAATCATGTATCTTTTAGCTTGACCATTGATAATGCTTTAGTAGACATGTACGCAAAATGTGGTAGCATTGATTCCGCTGCAGAGATCTTTCACCAAATGCCCACTAAAGATTTGGTTTCATGGAATTCAATAATTGTTGGCTATGCCTCTCATGGACGTGCTGAAGAGGCACTAACTCTTTTTGAACAGATGAAGAATAAGGGGTTTAAGCCTGATGGTATCACATTTGTGGGTGTCCTTTCAGCTTGTGCTCATGGAGGATTAGTGATTCAAGGCTGGAATCATTTTAAAAATATGGAAGAACATTGCTTGATCCCAAGAGTTGAGCATTATGCATGCTTGGTTGATTTGCTCAGTAGAGTTGGGCTCCTTGCAGAAGCTTATAACTTAATCAGAAAAATGCCGATGAAACCAGATGCAGCTGTTTGGGGTGCCTTGCTAAATGGTTGTAAACTGCATAAAAATCTTGATCTGGGCAAGCTAGCAGCCGAAAAGCTTATACAATTGGATCCTAAAGATAGTGGCTGTTACACACTTCTAGCAAGCTTATGTGCTCATCAAAGGAAATGGAGTGATGTAAGGTCAGTTAGAAGTCTAATGAGAGAAAAGGGTGCTAGAAAAAATCCAGGATTTAGCTTCATCGAAGTGGAAGGAATCTGTCATGAATTTTTGGTAGGAGATGAAAAACATCCTCATATTACGGCGATATGGAAAGTGCTAAATGACATCTGCTTGCTGTCAAGTCTGGAAATGTCCAGTTCAGGTCAAGAATGTTACCAAGATCTCTGACTGCTGTGTGAAATTTCACATCTTTAGAAAATTCTTTGCTGAAATGGTTACCAAATCCCGGGTCAGAAGAACAATAACAAAAGGCTGACTACAATCAATCAAAGTGTGGTTAATGGCACCAATGTGAAGATGGTTGGAATGTTTCAACTCTAAAGACTGTGAGCATATCTGCATGCAGTTGGCACATCTCATTTCGCCACCTGGTGGGTAAATTGATCAAAGCAGCAAGGAAATGAAAGTTCGAGAAGCAACAACTAAACGGAAACCCTTGCCTCTTCAAGGTATGAGAATATGATTTTCAAGTAAAATTCGGCATTGAACCAACATCTATCTAATGTAATTTTTTTCATCAGAATGTTGTCCATACAAAAGGAGATTCGTGAGGCTGTTTCAAGTACTTGCTAGTTGCTGGAACAAAATCTATAAACTAACATCCATTCTCAAAATATGACATAGTGCTGTAACCTAAGATAATTACAGTGATAAGACAAGTTTCCTGCATCTGAAGCAAGCAAAACTGTACGTGATCATATACTAATTTTCCAAATACTCCCATAAGGATCTCCAGATTGATATAACCATTGCATCAAACTATGCGTGAGTTAATTCATGTGCAGATTGCAGAATAGAGCTGACTGAAAATAAGATTCACGGGAACACTAGTTGCTAGTGATGATATACTTCCCCCTCTCTTTCGGAAACTTGTTTGACTGCTATGTCCATTTTTCAGTGAAAAATCGCCCTTCCTGTGTGGCTTCAGAAGGGAGGACCCTGCTTGCAGAACACCATTTTTCTCTGCTTCAGGAGTTTGGGTTGCAGAGGAGTTGAGCTCACCAACGTAGGAAACAGGAGTCCTTTTAGAGGTTTTCCAAATTGGTAAATGAAGCTTTGTGCCAACATTGTCAATCATGCTTTGGGTACTGCCCTTTCTTGGAAGCAAATCCTCAGGAATGTTGTCCAATACCTCTACTTCAACAGGGTACCCTATGATGGGTGCCTTACCTAGTTTGCTCATTAGAGAAACAAGAGGGACGTGCTCATTTCGATACTTTGCTTCAACTGTTACAGGTACATCAACTAGCATGGGTTTGGACATATTCTGGTCATCATTGTAAACCGGACTACAGCAGAGGCTTTCAGAGCAAGAGTCTCCTGCCTTGGAAGAGGAATCAGATTGGTTCTCGACCTCCAAAGCCAAGTTTTTAGAAGATTTCTTAGCAGCTTTGTGTCTGATTTCCTCTAGACAAACAACATCCAGCATCCATTGATCTTTTGTGTTGCTCGCTTGTTTTCTGGACATCATGGAACTTTCTCCTTCAGTCATAGTATCAGGACTCGCACTTGAATCATGCGAGTAACATCTTTCTTTTAACTTCCGGTTCTGTTCTGCACCAACCGCAAACTTGTTGTCAAGAGAAGACTTTGAAGAATTGCTGAAACACTCTGCCTTCTGCACATTTGTGGTTCTTCTCTTCCTCCCATTTGTGTAACTACCTGAAAACCTCAGTAGAGAGGTATACAATAGCTTAACTTAGAATGTCACAGGATTGCAATCTCAAATCCTCAGCCATGTTATGACTTGTGATTATGCATATTTGGTTTCTTTTCCATTGTTAATGCTCTCTGTTTATAAGTATGCACACAATCAACTTTCATTTTCATTACATTCATACATTAAGTTTGATTCTTTGAACTAATAAAGTGACCACAAGAACAGTTAAAAGCTTGTTTTCAACCTGTAAGTTTGCCATTCTCTGCAAAACCAGAATCCTCAGAACTGCTTTCAGAAACATCAGATGCCGCTGATTCAGAAGAATCTTGTACTTCACCTTGACTGGAATAAAGGGAATTTTCATCTAATTTGCGTAAAGCAGACAAGACTCTCATAGTCCGAGAATGAAGAACAGAGCGATTGACATGACTGTTTGATTCAACTGGTAAGTAAGCACATCTACTTCTCTTAGCTCGGCAGAGAGCACTTTGCTTAAATACCCCTGTTGAAAATATAAGAATGCAAGTTTTCCTTATTAGACTTCCACGGCAATTCTAATGAGAACTTTACTTCAACTATTACAAGCATTCATTAAAAACATAGTTACAATTCTCTGTGGTGCTTTCTACTATCATATTTAGTACTTGTGCGGAAAAGTGTTGTCAAACGCAACATCTTTCAGTGCTATTCGAGGAATGGAAACACGCAAATCTATAGCTGTAAATAGAGCTCTACATAGGGAGGGAGCATCTGAGGTACCTGGTCTCTTGAGACTTCTTTGTTTCTCTTGCTGTTCAAGTGAAAGCGCATGAAGAATAGCATCTTCCCGGTTTGGATATTTTGCATTCTTTCTGTAGTTGGCAGTGTTCGATAATTCAGCACTTCTAATGAAGTCATCAAACTCAACAGACCGAAATGCTTTGACTCGCTTCGAACTCGCCAAGTTGACCCACTCCCTGCAAATTTTTTATCGAGACAGGAGACAGACAAGGCATTTTACAGTGCGAAATCTTTGATTACATGAAGGCCGTCAGGTCATTTCTAAACATTCAACAAATAAGTGCATATATTTCTCCAATTTCTCAGAATCCAGAACAAAAGGAGCCACAGAATGTACAATTTATTTTCAAGCTACCAAGACTCGGTTTGCGTTTGCAAAGAACACAAAGCACAACGTTAAAAGACCAGACAACCAATTTCAATTTCAAAACACTTCTTCATACCAAAAAGCAATCTTTCCAGTTTTCTCTCTTACGCTTCAACTTTTCTCCAGAAAACAGAGAATCATACAGAAAGATTAAAAGAAACAACAAAATCAATCAGAGAACTTGAAGAAATTACAGTTCTGTTCTTCCCTGAAGCCCTGTTCTAAGATTTCAGCAAAAGCAACAACGCAAAAAGGCAAAAAAACTAAAAACCCAGAAAAGAAATCACGAAGGGAAATAAGCCAATAAGGAAATCAGCACGAAGGCAACAGCAATAGATGATGGTCGAAGCTTACACATAGCCATTTTGTTTGCCAAGAAGTTTGACAGCAACCTTGGAATTGGAAGAAGCTTCGATTTTGCCTGGCCACCATCTTCCGTTCTTCCTCAGAACCCAAACTAAGCTTCCCACTCTCCCGTTTTCCACAGCTAAAGCCATTTCTAATCTCCAATCACACAGGCTCCAAAGAACCTACCCAGAAACAAAACAAAAGAAGCAAAAAGAGGGGGTCAGATTGGAGATGGGTTTTCCTTTTATCCTTTAAAGGGTCTGTTTTCCCCAGCTCTTTTAAGGGTTTTAGGGTTTTAGAGAGGATTTTGGTCGGGCATTGATCATAGCTGGAAGGAAGACTGGGAAAGATGAGAAGAAAATGGTACGGATGTGCAGAAAGGCCAGAAGCTGATACCCAATGGCGGTATGCTACCTGTATTTTGAATGTACGAACCGTTGTCGTCTTTTTCCCTCTTTTGTTTATTTAATTATTTCTTCTTTTTTTTTTTTTTTGTCAGGGTGTAAAGCTTTTTACATTTATTTTACAGTGACTCTGTTTCGCAAATTGACCTTCATGTTTTCAATTTTGACCATAAGCAATTAAGCATGGGTGGATTTTTCGAACCCCAAATCCAAATGTATAATACTTTATGGTAGGTGAAGTGAATTTTATTATTATTATTATTATTATTTTTTGTAGAATTTGCATGGTAAGTGCTATTTGATCTTATTTAATAAAGTGTAGTTCATAGGATGGGATTTATTGTTCTTCTAAATCTAATGCAATATATTTGATAAAAATTACGTACGGCAGACCGAACTTTCACTGATCAATTAAGTCATTCATTAGGTTCAGGCTCGAAGTATATTACTCACTCGTCCTTAATATAAAGTATTTTAATTTCGTTTTAGATTAATTTAATATTTATTTTTAATTGACAAAAAACCTTAAAAATATTTCATAACAATCAAGAAAATACCACGAATGTGAAAATATATTTTTAAGATTTTTTTGTCAATAAAAAATAAACCTAAAACAAAATCAAAATACGTTATATTAAGGATCGGTGGGAGTACATTCTTTCAATTTTTTGAGCTCAAGCTATGAAGTCAACTTTGTTGTAAATAGAACAAATAATATATACCTATAAATGCTAACTATCCATTTTTGTTTCAATTCAGCCGTTTATATATATATATATATATATATATATATATATATATATAATTCTAAGGGCTTTTTACCTAAATAAATTCCAGAAAAAGGAAAACTTTTTATTTTTTGTTTTTTTTTTTGTGGTCCTGAAAAGTTTCGCGGATATACAATTTCCGTTTTCTTAACTATCATTTATAAAACGGAATTCCATTCTCCATTTTTATTTTTTGTATTTTCAAAATTCTGAAAAATGGAAAAAAACCATTTCGGTATAAATAATACTAGATAATTTAAATAAAAAGTAAAACGGAAATTAGAATTCCGTTTTTATAATGCTCAAAAAATAGAAAACGAATTTCCATTTCTTGGTTGTCAGTTTGTCAGTTCCATTATTGGTCTGACACTGTAGTGGCAGCTTTAATCAAAAAACCGGAAGTGAAAAATCCGTTTTTCGGCTTATATATAAATGAAAATTTGCACTGTTCACATATCTTGAAAGTTATGAATGGAAAGTGAAAAATCCACAGATGCAGCTAGTTTGAACCTGTTTTTTTTGGCCACATTATTGTTATCATCAAGGTTAGTTATGTGTTGATGTTATTGATTTCCTTTAATCGTATTTAATATTGTATTAAAATTATTTAATTATTGTGTTTATTAATTTTGAATGAGATTATTCAGTTTAAAAATATTGAACTTAGTAGGATCGTTATTTGGATAGGAATATTTTTTGTGCAGAAAGTTAATTTAGTAGGAATTAATATATTTTTTACAGGAAAAATGACATGGAATGGTCTATTTTTTATTAATGTGTACTGGAGAAATAAATATGTTGTAGAGGATGGCACGATCAGAACATTTAATAATAGGGCAGATGCGATATTAGTTATTGAGCGCAGGTTGTCGTATTATGAGTTTTTGGGCAGAATTTGTGACAAGGCCGACAGAGAATATGTAAATCTGAGAATTACTTTATTGTTCGAAAACAATGGTGTAAGACGAAGTGCAACAATTACGGAGGACTCGACGGTGGAAAATATTTATTATTTTTCAGGTTCATCATATTTGGAGCTTTATGTTGAAAATGAAGACACTGTGCATGCCCAAAATTAGTTAGATCTTGCTGGACAAAGGCAGGAAGATACATTTGGGTTGGAACAGCAATACTGGATGAATAATTCTCAACAACATACAGAAGCAGGGCCTAGCAGGAGCAGCGGTGATGGATATGTTGCTGAGGCACAAGACGGGGGTCAACATGATGACTTTGATTCATCAGATGAGGATGATGCATCTGACGGAACTTATGTAGAAAGCGAAGAAGAAATTGATTACCAAACTGATGTGCCGGATGAAACTGACTTAGAAGAAGAACAACAGGAAACAGAAGCAGAAGCAGTGAAGAAGTTTGTCACTTCTGATTTACGTCAGCATGTATATTCAGATATTGGTGATTATAAGAAGAGCATAGTGGACCGAGATGAATTTGGAGTTAAGATGTGGAAAGGTGATAGAGAAAACCTTGATTGGGACACCTCTTTCAACAACATGGATGAAGTTAAGACAGCTATCGAGGACTGGAACATACATCACAAAAGACAATTTTATGTGACTGTTTCTGGCCATAAGTCATGGGCTGCAGAGTGCACGACAAGAAGAATGCAAACTCCAATTGGGCAATCTACTTATGCGTGGAAGATGCATGCATCTTTGAAGAAGCATGGTCTGTGGCAAATTGTATCCTTGGTTGATCGTTACAATTGCGTTGGAATAACCAGAAGAAATGACCATCGCAATTTGACGTCAAAGTTAATAACCAAACTTATAAGGCGTAGTGTTGAAGATAATCCTGGTTTTAAGGTGAAGTTAATCAGGCTGCTGTGAAGACAGCTTATAATGTGGATGTGAAGTACAAGAAGGCATGACATGCAAGAAGGAAAGCTATCGAAGCGTGTTATGATAATTGGATCGATAATTTCACCGAATTGCCCTGGTAAAAATTTAAAATTTATTATTTATGATATTTTTGGTTTGACTGTTTATGCGAATCTGGTCTGTTTTATTGGAAATTACTGGACTGTTTTATAAATCTTGGACTATTTATGCAAATCTGGACTGTTTTATTAGAAAAATACTGGGCTATTTTTCAAATGCAGGACTTTTCATTCAAATTTGGACTGTTTTATTAGGAAAATACTGGACTTGTTTTAAATGCTAGACTGTTTATGTAAATATGGACTGTTTTATTATGAAAACTGGACTTTTTTTTAAATACTGGACTGTTTATGTAAATCTGAACTGTTTTTTAAATGCTGGACTGTTTATGCAAATCTGGATTGTTTTGTTATGAAAATACTAGACTGTTTTCTAAACTGGTTGTTGATGCAAATCCATACTGTGTTACTAGGGAATTACTGGACTATTTATTGGACTGTTTTGTATATATGATAGGTATATGGCCGCACTACAGAAGTCTAATCCCAACACAGTTGTTGAGTGGAAATGGCAGCCTGGGACTGAGAATGATGAACATCGGGTCTTCAAATATGTTTTCTGGGCATTTGGTCCTTACATTGCAATATTTCATAAGTGTCAACCTGTTGTGAGTATTGATGGCACACACCTTCACGGTCAGTACAAGGGTAAGATTCTTGTAGCAATGGTGAAAACTGCTAACAACCATATCATGCCTATTGCTTTTGCAATTGTGGATGAGGAGAGCGAGGATAGCTGGTCATTTTCCCCCAGTAATTTGAGCATTCATGTTGTATACGACAGAATCACGTGTCTTATATCAAATCGGCATAAGGGGATAATCAATGTACTGAAAAATAATGTCAATGTGTGGCTTGAACCATATTATGGATGCCACAGGTATTGTCTTCGACATGTTCGGAGCAACATGGTGGCAAAACACAAAAATCAAACTGCGGGAACCAATCTTGTTTGTTGGAAAATGGGCAAAAAACGGCAAGATCACAAGTTTCTAAAATTTCATCAACAACTAAGAGAGTGCAACGAAGCAGGTCTTGCTTATATGATGGCTATTCCGAGGGGGAGGTAGAGTCTTGCCTACGATCAAGATTATGCACGTTGGGGCATCTTGACAACAAATATATCTGAGAGTTACAACAATTTCTGAAGGGTGTTCAATTTTTACTAATTAGAGCTGTGGTAGAATTGACTTTGGCGAAGACAATTAAGTTCTTTCGTGATCAGTATGCAGATGCCTTGAAGTGCGATACTCCTATCGGAGATAAGTATTGGAAGAAATTCTGTAAGTACGAGAATACAATAGCAACTCACAAAAAGGAGCTGTACGATTTACAGAACTAAGTGTATGGGGGTCACTACAGGTTGGCATCGTATAGAGAAAGGTGGAAATGAACACAAAGTAGAATACATGGATTGGCGTTGTTCATGCAAGAAGTGGCAGACTTATAGGCTTCCTTGTTCTCACGCATTGGTTGTATGTCGGTGGATTAGTGATCACCCAGAAAATATAATACATGAATATTATAAGACAAGCATGCAGACTTATAGGCTTCCTTGTTCTCACGCATTGGTTGTATGTCGGTGGATTGGTGATCACCCAGAAAATATAATACATGAATATTATAAGACGAGCACATGGCGTGAGTAGTTTCGTCATTCTAAGTTTGTTCCCGTCCTAAGAAGAGAAGAGTGGGTGTCTTCAGGGTGGAACCTTGTTCCTGATTATGTCAATCTAGTTCTGTATAATGCTCCGGGTCGTCAACAACAATGGCGATTCTTGATGTCAATGGATTATATGGGTAGGAGTAGACGCAGAAGATGTAGGAGATGCGACAGTCGAGATCATTTCACAAGGGAATGTGGTCGCTCGCACCGTATAGCTGATCGGACAAGATTGGAAGTCAACTGGGACGCAGATGGTTTTGAAAATGTTAAAGAGGACTGAATCCCTCCGGTGTGTTAAATCTGGAACTAATATCATGTAATCTGTATTTCTATATTTCTTTATGCATTTGGATGTTTATGTCTGACAAACTTGGTATTATGTATTTCTTTATGTATTTGGATGATCATTATTGTTATGATTGTATTATTATTATTATTTTAGTTGGATGTTTCAATAGTTTGTGTAGTAAATGTAATCTGGACTGATGTTTTAGTAGGAACGTATTTTGTATTAGTAGGAATTTGTATTAAAATGTAATCTAGATTGATGTTTTGAAAAAAAATAGGGTTTAGGTTTTAGGGTAGTAAAAACGGAATTCGGAAATCCGTTTTTCTTTTAAACTAAAAACGAAATTTGCACATCCGTTTTTCTCATGTATAAAGTCCCACA